GTCCCAGCTACTTGGGAGGCTGAGGCAGGAGACTCGCTTGAGCCTAGGAGTTGGAGGTTGCTGTGAGCTGTAATGCCATGGCACTCTATCCAGGGTGACAGCTTGAGGCTCTGTCTTTAAAAAAAAAAAAGAAACAGAGTCTCACTAGTCGCATTAGGTAGAGTGCTGTGGTATCACAGCTCACAGCAACCTCAAACTCTTTGGCTTAAACAGTTCTCTTACCTCAGCAAGAGAATGGGACTACAGGCGCCTTCCACAGCGCCCAGTTATTTTTTGGTTGCATTTGTCATTGTTTTTGGCAGGCCCGGGCTGGATTAGACCGGCCAGCCCCAGTGTATGTGGCTGGCACCCTAGCTGCTGAGCTATAGGCACCAAGCAGACGTACATGTTTTTTATTAGATAAGTTGTTGGATTACTTGTAGAAAAGGGTAAGCAGGATATGAGGGCCTTTTTCTCCTTTTATTTGTCATCACTTAAAAAGTTGGCACGATAATATTGATTTGTTTAATTTTAACAACGGATCTTTATATTATATTAGGGTTGAATTACATAGTTCATAGTCTTTATGATATTCTTAAGTAGTGATTGCTATGGTAAAATGAACTTAAAGAACAAAAGAATTTCTATGTACAATAGAAATGTACATTCTTAATTTAGAATGCCTACTTGGCTGGGCATGGTGGCTCATGCCTATAATCCTAACACTCAGAGGCCAAGGCAGATGGACTGAGATTGCTTCAGCTCAGGAGTTCTAGACCAGCCTGAGCACGAGTGAGACCCTATTTCTATTAAAAATAGATGAAAACAGGTGGGGCATTGTGACAGGCACCTGTAATCCTAGCTACTTAGGAGGCAAGAGGATCTCTTGAGCCAAAGAGACTGAGGTTTCTCTGAGCTATGATGATGCCCCAGCCCTCTACCCAGAGGAATAGAATGAGGCTCTGTCTCACATAAACAAACAAACAAACATGAATCCTTAAAAATAAATAGGATGCCTGCTTGAATTAATAGATTGAAAAGTCACAGATAGCAGTTTTACCTATGTCTCTATTTAATGAAGTTTCAGAAGTATTTAGTCTTTTGGTAGGTAACAGATCATCATTTCTGGGGTTTGTTTGTTTTGTAGGGGCAGAGTCTCACTTTATGTCACCCTTGGTAGAGTGCCAGGGCAACACACAGCTCACAGTAACTTCCAACTCCTGGGCTTAGGCGATTCTATTGCCTCAGCCTCCCGAGTAGCTGCGACTATAGGTGCCCGCCACAACCCCCGGCTATTTTTCTGTTGTAGTTTGGCCAAGGTCAGGTTTGAACCCGCCACCCTCAGTATATAAGGCCAGTGCCCTAGCCACTGAGCCACAGGCGCCGCCCCATCCTTTCTGTTTCTAGTGAGCTACTGTTGAATAATAAAAGCCAACATTTGTTGAATGTTATTTTACTTCAGTTAACTGTGCTAAGTACTTTATTTACTTCTTCACAACAGCTTTATATGTTCAGTTAGAATCTCTGTCCCTGTATATTTTCTGAATCTGTATGAAACATTTTCACATGAATAAATGAGACTTAAAAATTAAGAGTCGGCTCGGCGCCTGTGGCTCAGGTGGCTGAGGTGCCAGCCACATACACCAAAGGTGGTGGGTTCGAATCCAGCCTGGGCCTGCCAAAACAACGATGGCTGTAACCAAAAAATAGCAGGGCGTTGTGGCGGGCGCCTGTGGTCCCAGCTACTTGGGAGGCTGAAGCAGGAGACTCGCTTGAGCCCAGGAGTTGGAGGTTGCTGTGAGCTGTGATGCCACGGCACTCTACCCAGGGGGACAGCTTGAGGCTCTGTCTCAAAAAAAAAAAAAAAAAATTAAGAGTCCATCTGCGTTTATCTCTCCTCTACATTTTAAGAATGCTGTTTGGAGGAAAAGTGGCTTAAATATTATATGAGGAAAATACCTGTTAGAGAAATATTGCTTCGTGTCTTTGGCATACTGTAATTGTTCTATAATTTTTTGGGGGGGGGCGGCTGACACATTGATTTCAATTGGGTTCTTTTTTTATTGAGACAGAGTCTCACTTTGTCACCCTGAGTAGAATGCTGTAGCATCATAGCTCACGGCAACCTCAAACTCTTAGGCTCAAGTGATTGTCTTGCCTCAGCCTCCTGAGTAGCTGGGATTACAGGCGCCTGCCACAAGGCCTGGCTATTTTTAGAGACAGGGTCTCATCTCACTCTTGCTCAGGCTGGTCTTGAACTTCGGAACACAGGCAATCTGCCACCTTGGTCTCCCAGAGTACTAGAATTACAGGTGTGAGCCTCTTTTTAAAAAGTGATTTTTTTTTTAAAAAGTGGAACATAAAGCATAGCCTTTTTCAGTTTTAGGAATTTAGCATAATAGAGTATGGCACTAATTTAGCATTGCATTATTAATTTTAAAGATCCTCAAGATGAAAATAAAATTGGAATAGATGGTATACAACAATTCTGTGATGACCTGGCACTCGATCCAGCCAGCATTAGTGTGTTGATCATTGCATGGAAGTTCAGAGCAGCAACACAGTGTGAGTTCTCCAAGCAGGAGTTCATGGACGGCATGACAGAATTAGGGTGAGTATATGATTACAATAGGAAATTAGGTGCATTAAGAATTACTATGCTACTGAAATATATCATGAATTTTAGACATGAAAATGTACTGGCCCATAGGCACTGTATAAATAGAAGTGGGCTCATTTGCTCAGTTTCGTGTTATCCAGCTTTCTGGGTTTGTCAAGTTGTCTGTGGTTCGTATACCCTATTCTATTTGTGTTAATAATTTTATCATCTACTTCTAAAGAAGGGTCACTTGTATTAAAATTATTATGCATTAATATTTAATAAGGAAAAGTGAAGTGACCAAGTTTGTTAGTTATTTCCTAATTTGAGGCTGTAAACTGTGAATTTACAAAACTTTAATTTAAAAACTGGGAGGAACCTTAGCAGTTACTCTTTGTTTCACTTATGCTTTGCCAGTTGAAAGCTCAATGTCTTTGGATATTATAGATTAAAAGGTCATAATAGAGGCTTTATCTATGTCTCTATTTAATGAGGCTGCAGAAGTATTCAGTCTAATGGTAGGTAACAGACTGTCCTTTCTGTTTTTAGGGAATCACTGTTGAATAATAATAGCTAACATGTATTGAACATTATTTCAGTTAACTGTGCTAAGTACTTCACCTGTGTCTTCACAACAACTTTGTGGGAGAAGTAGTGTTTATATCCCTGTTTTAGAGATGAGGAATCTGAGACGCAGAGAAATGACAGAGTTAGGCAGCATTAGAGGCAGGGTTTCAATGCAAGCAACTCTAACTCTTGGGCCTGAGGGACCTCGTGATCTGTCAGCGTCTAGTCAAGAGGTAAAACCACACCAGTAATTGGAACAGGAAACATTTAAAGAATTGTTTTACTCTGTCTGTAAAAGGGGTAAAAGAAAACTCTGGGCTGTAACAGAGGTGTTACAGGAAGCTGCTCCCACCCCTGAGATGTAGTGAAGTGGAAAAAACAAGGAAGAAATTTAGAAACTTAGGACATCCCGGCAAGGCTGAGATTCAGACCTTAAGGGAAAGTGTGTGATGTAAAGGAAAACTAGCCAGAGGCCACCTGCTGCAGGACTGTGAGAGTTGCCCCTGCTAGTGGACAGTGTTGGGATCTCCCTGCACACTGAAACCCTGACCTCTGTAGAAAACAAACCAGGGTTAGAGCGGTCCCTCCTTTCCCTTCTAGTCTTTACTGCCCACTCTTGGTAGAGTCTCACTTTGAGCCAGCTGGCAAGAAAAACGAAGTCTCACAGTTTGTAGTCCAATATCACAAAGTAGGGCAAACGAAGGGTGGGTTTAAAGCTCAGGGCAGTGTCCTACACCCAAAGCCAGCCCATCTTGAACATGTTGGAAGTTTCTATGCTAGGGCAGGTTTCACTAGAATTTAAGGAAGCGGTGTTTTACTTTTTCTTTTTCATTCGAAACTGAATTCATATAAAATGTAATGAACTGCCAAATCAAATTTTTAATTCACAAACGAACAATCTGGAAGATGTTACAAAGAGTAAAGAAGGAAAATAAAAGCAAAAATGATTAGAAGAGGAAAAGGGTGGATTGATTTATTTGTGGCTTCTTTAAGAAATAGAATATTTCTACTGTAAGGATTTGAGGAAAGTAAGGCTTTTTCATCTCTTTAAAAGTTGAATGTTTTGCATGTTTAGAAAAAGCTTAATGTTGATTTGAGATAATTCAGTCGGAGGTGGTAGGAGGTTCAGCTGATATTTATTATTGTACTTTGTAACAAGAAGCAACTTCGCAAGGAATGCTTCCTCACCTAAGCAAGAGACCATCCTTTCAGTTCATTTAGAAACTAGACCTGTGATTTATTACTATGTCAGCATCGTCTAATACAGTTTAAATTGGTGATTGTTATGCTGATTACCATATATACTTGATCTGTTCACTGAAACTGACTTCTAACCAGTGTGTTGATAATCTATTATAGAATTCTATTCTATAAATAGAATTTTTAAAGGTCATTTAATTACTTCAGGCCTCACTAATCTAATACTTGTTTATATTCAAATGATATAAAAGGATGGAATTCCAACTATCTGATTTTTAAAAAAGAAGTTCTAGGAAATAAATATAAGCCCTCTTAGGAATAAATAAGTTAAGTTCTTAATTCATAGTGAAAAAGTTAATCTTTATAAACTTAATTTTATAATGTAGATGTGACAGCATAGAAAAACTAAAGGCCCAGATACCCAAGATGGAACAAGAATTGAAAGAACCAGGACGATTTAAGGATTTTTACCAGTTTACTTTTAATTTTGCAAAGAATCCAGGACAAAAAGGATTAGGTAAGAATTTTTTTTTAAAAATTATATTTGGTGTTTCAAATATATTGACAGTGTCACTTTTGTAATAGAAAATTATGTGTTTTGAGCACAAGCATCATGAAAATACCAATTATTGAAAAATAATAAGAAGCAGTGAACTTCTAATCAGAAAATACCATGCACGGTGATAATAGGATTACCCAGGGTACCATATGTAAATCACTAATTTTTTAAAAATAAAAACTATAGTATGAGAAATAAACACTTGTTAAAATTTCACTGACATTCTGTATTTATTCATGTATTCACCCATTCATGATCTGCAAGATATTTTAGGATCTTAGGATCTATAGAAATAACATTAAAAGATTTCTTAGTCATAGATGCCAGATAAATTTATTTTTGGTTAAGATTTATTTGAAAACTTTAGAAAAGGCTGAAAAACAAAAGAATTATGATTCATAATCTTATTATCCAGAAGTAACTACTGTTAACGGTTTAGTTTGATCAATTTATATACTAAATGTGGTAATCATATGTGTGCTTTTGGGCCAGCTAGGGGATATGAAAATAAAAAATACAGTGTAGGCAGGGCGTGGTGGCTCACGCCTGTAATCCTAGCATTGTGGGAGGCACAGGTGGGAGGATTGCCTGAGCTGTGGGTTTGAGACCAGCCTGAGCAAGATCGAGACTCCCATCTCTAAAAATAGCCAGGCCCTGTGGCGGGTGCCTGTAGTCCCAGCTACCTGGGAGGCTGAGGCAGGAGAATCGCGTGAGCCCAAGATTTTGAGGTTGCTGTGAGCTGTGATGCCATGGTACTCTGCCAAGGGTGACAAAGTGAGACTCTGTCTCAGAAATAAATACAGTGTAATTTACAATTTACTTTAAAAGATTAGATAGCTTCAGTAGATAATATAAAATAATAAATGTGAGTAGGCGTTTTAGAGAAAAGGAGAAATGAATAAAAGCAGACATGTTTGAAAAATGCTTCCTGGGCAAGGTGGGATGTAAATTAAAGTGTTTGGTGTTTGACTGGGCAAGGGAAGATAGAAGGTATTCCAGTGAGAAGATAGGAGTGGCTCAGCTCCTCTTTGGAAGAGAAAAGACATTGATTTGATTTTAGTGAGAATGCTTATTTGGAGATTAAATTGTGGTGAGGCCAAAAAAGGCTAAATAACCATAGGCTTCATCTGAAAATGAGACAGAAGGGCTTAAGTTGGAATTTTGGGAAACGAAGACCTACTGAAGAATTTGATTATTGTGTGAATAATCCATTTAATGTGAGCTTTTAGTGTGCCTGGGAATGTGCTAAATACTATACTTCACATACACTTCCTGTCTTTTAGTCCATGTTGTGTTACTATAACTGAATACCTGAGACTGGGTAATTTATCACGAAAAGAGGTTTATTTTTCACTTGTGGTTCTCAGGCTAGGAAGTTCAAGGGTGTGGCCCTGGCTTCTGGTGAGGGCTTTAATGCTGCAGTGTAACAGCATAGTGGAGAAGGTCTCGGGAAGTGGGCACATGTGATGAGAGAGACCGAACGGGAGGAGCAGCCCTGCTTTCCCACCTGCACTTTCACGGGAACCAGTCCCTTCCCTCTGCTGAGAACACGCTGCTGCAGAAGCAAGAGTGGCCCACACCACACACCAGGCACCTGCCCCATGACTTAGTCACCCCCTCCTGACCCCAGCTCTCAACACCACCACACTGTGGATGGAATTTCAGCATGAGTTTAGGTAGGGACAAACAAACCATAGCACTGCGTTATTTGGTGTTTACCAATTTTATTTTATTTTTATTTTTTGAGACAGAGTCTCACTTTCTTGCCCCAGTAGAGTGCATGGCATCATAGCTCACAGCAACCTCAAACTCTTGGACTCAAGTGATTCTCTTGCCTCAGCCTCCCGAGAAGCTGAGACTACAGGCGGCTACTACAACACCCGGCTATTTTTAGAGACGGGGGTCTTACTCTGGCTCAGGCTGGTCTCAAACCTGTGAGCTCAGGCAATCCCCCTGCCTCGGCCTCCCAAGTGCTAGGATTATAGGTGTGAGCCACCATGCCCGGACTTTGTTTACCAATTTTATGCGTTACTCATTCTTTCATTCAATAATTTGCTACCTGCCATGTGCCAAATTAACAAAAAGAATACTGTTTTTATCCTTAATTTGCAAGTGAGGAAACATTGGCACGAGAAGGTTAAATAACTTGTCCAATGATGGAAGGTTTTTGTTTGTTTTTGAAAACATAGTAGTTGGAGAGGCTAATAGGGACCTCTTGTACTAAGCCTAATTCATATTTTAGATTAGAGGGTGGACAAAAGCATTGAGAAACAGATATGAATAGGGATTAGACAGAGGAGAAACGACTGAAAGCTAGAGAGGAAGGGGGAAATGTACCGGATTTGTGTAGAATATTAGCCTAAAGAGTGACTAAATGTGACTGAATTGATTAAAGATTTAAAAGTATTTGTAAAACAAAAATCTAAATAATGAAGCCTCCTCTCCAGCTGATTTTGCAGGCAAAAGAAGCTGGAATACTTTAGTCTTTGGCCACCAGTTAACTGGGCCGTATTTTCTAGTTTGCTTTTTTCTTTCCAGAAATAAAAATCTTTTTTTAGATTTTACACTATGTTGCCCTTGGTAGAGTGCTGTGGTGTCACAGCTCACAGCAACCTCAAACTCTTGGGCTTAAGTGAGTTTTAAGATGTCTTAGCCTCCCGAGTTACTGTTGTTGGCAGGCCTGGGCAGGGTTCAAACCTGCCAGCTCCAGTGTATGTGGCTGGCGCCCTAGTGGCTGAGCTACAGGCGCTGAGCCAGAAAAAAAATCTCTTAAAAGTTGAATTTATATGTATATGTTAGAAGGGTCATTTTGTGGTATTGAGAAATGTAGCACAATATGTTGATAAGATCAAACAAAAAGTGAATGTCAAATGTTGATTTAAAGGTCTGTTTCTTTGTTATATTCCTACCTTTTATTGGAACATAAAATAAGTGGGGTTTGGGGCCAATATGTAGTTTGGATATTGACTCTTAGTTTTTATTGCATGTAGTAAAAATAGAGCAAAATTAATTTTTTTATAGATGTTGGGTATATTAATGTGATGATAAATTAGAATTTTAGATTACAGGAGAATACTGAGAAAAACATGTGAAAGCATTAGATTTTAAAATTATGTTTACCTTATTGTCTTAATAGATATTGTGTGTAAGAAAAATGTAGTATTTAATGGGTATAGAGTTTTTGTTTTGCAAGCTAATGAGAATTCTGGTTGGCAGTAATGTGAGATATGCTTAACACTGTTGAACTGCACACTTTAAAAAGGTTAAGATGGTAAATTTTATGTTATATGTATTTAACTACCATGAGAAAATTATTTAAGAACTCCCCAAAGCCTCACAATGTACAGAGAATAAACTCCATTAATAATGTGTCCATGTTGATTTATCAGTGATAAAAGACATACCACACTGAAGCAAGATGCTAAAAATAGTGGGAACTGCTTGGGAGCTCTCTACCTTTCTGTGCAATTTTTCTCATAAACCTAAAACTGAAAGTCTGTGACTTTGAAAAAAAAGACAAATTATAGTTTCTCTTTTTGTTTTGCATTGGTGTTAGATATCAGGAAATTTAAGGACTTGCTTAGTTGAAGAGTTTAATTAAAGAGTTTTCTTGACAGTCTTTGTAAGGGTTCACAGGGCTCTTAAATTACAAGGTTTGGCAGAGAGGAATTAGAAGATCGTAGGAAAAGAGATGAGGCCCACAACAAATTGGCAAAGAGCGACAGTGACGGCACTGTGGCTTGTTGATAAATTACTGTGCTAGTTATGATGGGAACTGGCGTTTCCCCCATTTTCTTTTTTTTTTTTTGCTTTCCATAACCTTATTTCTTGTGATATCAGAATGTAGTTCTTCCTCTGTTGTGTGATGTGCTTCTGACAGTCACCTGCCATTTGATAGTTACCTGAAGTTTAAATTTGAAAGGGATTTTATAAGTCCTCTGTAAAATCTAACCTACCCGAAGTAGCACCCTCAGTGATGCTCGTTTAGCTTATACTTTTGAACATGCAGGGAGTGGACACACATTGCTGTAGGAAGTTGTCCATCCCTGCCACAGGACAGTCTTGTTAGTATGCGGCTCTTCCTCGTTAAGTTCACATCTTTACCATTGGTCTTATTTGTCCTCTAGTGTAACACAGAGGAAGTCTAACCATTTAAAGATCACTATCACTCACCTTTTGTCCTTTTTTTCCAGGCCTCCTTTCAGTTATTTTAACTCTTCCTTGTTTGAAGAGATGGTTGTTAGCCCTGTTACTTTTGCTCCAAAACACATTTCTTGGTGTCTTTCAAAATATACCCCTTAAATTTGCATATAATATTCCAGAAGGAGACTGTTTAATATGGAACTTCATGGGTCGGTGTTTATTTATTTATTTATTTATTTAGATACAGAGTCTCACTATGTAGAGTAGAGTGCCATGGTGCCACAGCAACCTCAAACTCTTGGGCTTAAGTAATTCTCTTGCCTCAGCCCCCCCAAGTAGCTGGGACTACAGGTGCCTGCCACAACACGCAGCTATTTTTTCGTTGTAGTTGTCATTGTTTGGCAGGCCTGGGCTGGGTTTGAACCCGCCAGCCCTGGTGTATGTGGTCCCCTAGCTGCTGAGCTACAGGCGCCAAGCTGCTGCTGTTATTTTTTGAGACTTTTTTTCATTCTGTTAATTGATCAAAGATTATATGTGTTCTTTAGCAACCATGTTATTTTTAGGACCATTCTGAACTTTTGTTAGACTAAAGTCTGTAGGTCATTTTCATGTGAACCCTGTGGTTTAGCTAGAATCTTATATCCTGTACAGTAGATTCAAAAGATTTTAACATTATTTGTTAAACATTTACACTCTAACATTTAGAAATAACTTGGTGGTGTTTTTAAGAGCATTTTTCTATATGCAATCTCATTTAGTTCTTGTGACAGTCCTTTGGGCTAAATAAAAAACGTATTATCTTTTCTATCATTAGATGAAAAAACTCAGAGTGACTGACTGATTAGTGAGGTTACATAACTTTAGAGTTAGTGGAACTAGGACTAGACCTCAAGTCTTATGACCCCACAGTCGGTATCTTTTTTGTTATATTATTATATCTATAGTGCTAACTATAGGTACTTCTAAATAAATTAAGACATTATAAATGGGAATTTTTAATCACCTTTCCATCCTCCCTAGTGAGTTGGTAACATTTTGTTTCCATTAGGGGCTACGTTTGAGTCTATACTCAGCTTATTTTCACGTTCCTCCTGTATTTAGCTTATTATCTTTTATGAAATCCTGCTTTGCCCTTGTTAATTCTGTTTGAAAAAATGACATTGGGAGTATCTCTGTTTGCATTTGAAATTTTGCTACACGGGTTTATACCAGTATTAAGCAATAGCGTTAATAGGACTTGCTTGTCTCTTTTCTTCATTTTCCTTCCCTTTACTCTAGCTGCTTTTGCTTGTTGTTAATACTAAATTTATTCTCTTTTCCAATATGGCTTCAGAATCTCAAATAATAATTTAAAAAATTCTTAAAAATTAATAACAGTAAAGGCTCATGTATAGTTTGGCCATAAAGTTCATGTAGCAATGGTTACACTGTATTATTTGCAAGTTACTGTTATAAATACTTTGTGTATATTAAGAACTCAGTATGGGTGTAGGTATTGTTAATTATCTTTTTTATTTTATTTTTTTTGAGACAGAGTCTCAAGCTGTTGCCCTAGTTAGAGTGCCGTAGCATCATAGCTCACAACAATTTTAAACACTTGGGCTTAAGTGATTCTCTTGCCTCAACCTCCCGAGCAGCTGGGACTATAGGCACCTGCCACAGGGCCTGGCTATTTTTGTTATTGTTGTTGCAGTTGTCATTGTTTTTTAACTGGCCCGGGCTGCATTTGAACCTGCCAGCCTTGGTGTATGTGGCCGTAGCCTTACCCACTGAGCTATGGGTGCCACCCTATTATCTTCATTTTTAGCTGAATCAGTTGCCCAATGCTATTTAAATTGGGGTTTGAGAGACTGAAATTCATGCTCTAAACTACTGTTTAACTGCCTCTCTTGGCATACTTCTTTCTAAAGGGCAGTTTTTCCTATACCTGTGAATTAGTATTTTATCCTTGTATAACGTAATCTTATATATTCAACTCTTTCTTTTCTTTTTTAGAGACAGAATCTCTCTTTATCACCCTCAGTAGAGTGCTCTAGTATCACAGCTCACAGCAACCTCCAGGTCTCGGGCTTAGGTGATTCTCTTGCCTCAGCCTCCTGAGTAGCTGGGACTATAGGTGCCTGCCACAACACCTGGCTATTTTTTTGTTGCAATTTGGCCAGTGCTGGGTTTGAACCCACCACCCTCAGTATATGGGGCCAGTGCCCTACTCACTGAGCCACAGGCGCCGCCCATATATTCAACTTTTAGTTTTAACTTACCAATCTTTTTTGTTGAAAAACATTTATTGACTCCTTTCTCTAAGAGCATAGAATCAGCATATTAAATCAGGGAGAGTTTGTGATATATTCAGAAAGGTTATCGTTTTTGAACCTTGAAGAATGCATATACATTTTTCAAGGCCAAAAATAAAAAGAAGCCACTCCAGATGGAAAGATTAGTATGTTCTGTTGCTCAGAGGTCAGAGAATATCACACCTTTGAGGAACTATGAGTGAGTTTATTTGGCTAGAAGTATAGATTTTATCTAAAGGCAATAGGAAATCATTAAAAAAATTGAACATAGAAATGACACCATATTCTTGCATGAAAAGTGTATATTAAAGTTCTGTGGTCCTTTAAAAGGAGTGGAGGCTAGACTAAAAGAAGAGAGATTACTTGTGGAGCTGTTGTAATGATTGAGCCAGCGAAGAGTGCATGGGCCTGCCAGTGAGAATGGAGGAGAGAGGTCCAGGAGGGGCTGTGATTGGATGTGTACCATGAGCAAGAGAAGGAGCCCTTCCTAGCAATTCTCAACACCTTCAGGGGACGTTTAGGAATCTGTGGGGTTGATTTTTGTTTGTCATAATAATGGAGGGTTTCTGCTGGCACTAGGGGATACTAAATGTCCTGCATTAGTGCATAGGACAATTCCTTACAATGAGAAAATGCTTCATTGGGCAACACAATAAGAGTGGCATTTTCTTGAGAGAGAGAAGCAGGCCCGTATAGGTAATATAATGAGTTCAGTTCGAGCCCTGCTGAGTCTTAGCTGTTTGTGGTTACCCAGTTGAAGATGTCCCTAGGCAATTTGATATTTGAATCTAGAATATAGAGATAGGTTGCAGATTCAGGAGTTGTGAGAGGCCATTGAATATATAACATGAAAAATGAGGGTGGCGCCTGAGGCTCAGGCGCTGGCCCCATATACCAAGGGTACGGGGTTTGAACCTAGCCCCAGCCAAACTGCAACAACAAAAAAATAGCCAGGTGTTGTGGTGGGTGGCTGTGGTCCCAGCTACTCAAGAGGCTGAGGCAAGAGAATCGCCTAAGCCCAAGAGCTGGAGGTTGCAGTGAGCTGTGATGCCACGGCACTCTACCGAGGGTGACAGTAAGACTCTATCTCTTAAAAAAAAAGAAAAAAAATGGTATAGGTTTGAAAATCTGCTGAGGGAAATAGAAGTGGTTATCTGTAACAAGAGAAACCTAACATTTAACAGATGCATAGAGGAAGAGGAGCCAGTGAAAGAGGAGGAGAAGCCCAGACAGGACAGAGGATGGTTAGTAGGGTGCTGTCATTGAAGCCAAAGGAAATGACAGTTCCATCTAAGAAGTGTGCTCAGTTCTGTCAAATAGGCAGAGAACCAAACAACCAGAAGGGACGGCGACCATTCAGAGATGAATTTCAGTAGGTTAGTGACAGAGGTGGATGCTAGTTAATTGGATTAGGGTGTGTCAGAGTTGAGGAAATGGGACAAGGAATGTATACCCCAGGAAGCTCTCTTCTTTTACAGCCTGAACTTTGTATGTGTACACTCTCGCAGATTACTTTAGTGTATCAGCTGACAAATGGGCATTTATAGGTTTCTCAGGATTTGTAGTTACTTGAATATTTCATTGTTTGTCATCCTTATTTCATAAAATTGAGTTGAAAAGGGAAAATGCTAACACCAATAAAGTTCAGTTCTTATAAATTTAATACGTTTAAAGGGAAGTGAATTAGGCATACTAATAACAGTAAATCCTTAGTCTCAATTAGACATTAACTGCACCTAAACCAGAAGATTGTATATTGAGTTGGTAAAGAAAAGAGTGGAATTAAACAACCTGCCAAGGCTATTAGGGATAGAGCTTTAAAGCCTACAAAGACTGGAAAGGAAGTACCATTAAGAATTGGTGCCATATATTTTTTAGTTCTCTTAAAATACGGGAATCAAAATTTGACTTTCAGATACATTTTCAGGAGCAAATTATGTATTAAAGTAGAAGATTCCATGTATTAGATTTCAAGATTATCTATGTGTGAAGGAAAGGAGAAAGAGGGTACCCAGTAAAGGGAATAACAGATCCAAGAAAGATTTTCAAATTGATAACCTGAACATTTGTGGAGTTGGAAAAGCCAGAGGACAAGGCAAAGTTGCAGGTGCCAAGAGAGGGGAAAGTTAATCAGTAGATGAGGTTCCTTGAAGAGGCAGAACAAATGGAAGGGACTTAACCTTGACTACAAGAAAGGACAGGGCGCCTTTTCCATTGAGTTTGCAAGAAGTTGATGACAAGGGATTTGAAGGTAAGTATGTTTGTGAAATCACAGGAAGTTCATTTGCTCAGCAGTTTCTGAATGACTGCTGTTGTCTTTCAGTCTGCTGGTTTGGAGATACACAGGGTAGACATAAAGTTCTGGTGCAGTTTAAAATAGTTTAACATAGTAAATTGCACATGAACTTTATGGACACCTGATATAGTTCCAATCTTTGAAGAAGTTAAAATCCAGCCTTGAACATTTCTAGCTGTTGTGATTTTTAATGGATTCTTTTAAATTATCTGCTTTTGGTAGTGAATAAACATCAAGTTTACACTTTTTATTGGTTTTAAAATTTGGGTCAGCACTTGGCCGTCTTTGTCTTTTGTAGTCTCTGCTGATTCCTCAGTTTATTAGGATTAGTTTTGCGATCTCACCTTAAAGGACTTTTAAGTTATTTGGAATAAAATTTTTCTTGTCCTAGAGATATAAATTCACTCATAAAAACTAGATAGTTTCTTAACTACTTCAGGCCCTTGAAAGATCATAGATCACAGTTCTTCCACGCAGTCATCTGGCAGGTGTGGTTCTTTGTTATGTGGCAGTATTTCTGCTTTATCCTTCTTTACTCCATTCCTAATTAAAAAGCAATTTATGTTATCATTGACAAACTGAAAAAAAACTTAGCTTCTTTAATTTTTAAATCAGTAGTCTTGATGTTCTCCTTTGTGGTCAGAACCAGGCAACAACTTTAGAACATAAGTTTGGATTGTGAGTAGCAGTCATTTGCATTCAAACCTGTAGGTGTCCATCACTGATTCAGCTGTCCCTTGGTGACCTTTGGCAATATCCGGATCGTCACTACTGGGGGTAGATGAAGCTGCACTTGGCATCTAGTGGGTCAACATTAGGGATCTGCTGAATTTCCTGCCGTACATAGGACAGCCCTTTCCAACAGAGAATTCTCTGGCTCACTGTGTCAGAAGTGCCAAAGGATAAGAAACCCTGGTGTACTAATTAACTAGGATTTGAATACCCGTGAACTGGTGTGCTTAACTACATTATCTAACTTAAACCACAGGATACCTCTGTGAAGTCAGTGGTATATCATTTTTGCCCTGAAGGTCATATTGGTAGGAGGCAGAATACAAACCTTGGGGTTCTTTCTATATGAAATTATATTTGTATTCAGGATACAAGTTTTTTTCTTTTTCTTTTTTAGTCTTTTGATCTTACCTTTTCTTGCAGGGACCAAATATTCATAGCATTCAAATATGTTATTTTTAATGTTACAGATCTAGAAATGGCCATTGCCTACTGGAACTTAGTGCTTAATGGAAGATTTAAATTCTTAGACTTATGGAATAAATTTTTGTTGGTAAGTTCACATTTTCTGCAGTTTTGTATGCTTTCTCTAAAATTCTGCAATGTTTAATGATAAGTGAACATATTTTAGAGCATGACTAAGTCATCTTAGAGCATGGAATGGACATAGAATAAGAATTTTGATTATCAGGAATTACTTTTAATACTCGTTTTATATTAGTACTGTCTGGACTTTTTTTTACAACTCTTTTAGTGATTTGAATGTTTGTTTTTTTTAAATAGGAACATCATAAACGGTCAATACCAAAAGATACTTGGAATCTTCTTTTAGACTTCAGTACAATGATTGCAGATGACATGTCTAATTATGATGAAGAAGGTAATGAAAAAATGTTCCCTGCTAGTTTTTTTTTTCCAGCATGCCTTCTTATCTCTTTACCACATGCTTCTAAAGTTTTTTTTTTTTTTTTTTAAGACAGAGTCTCACTTTGTTGCCCTCAGTGGAGTGCTGTGTGTGGCATCACAGCTCACAGCAACCTCAAACTCTTGGGCTCCAGTAATTTTCTTGCCTCAGCCTCCCAAGTACCTGGGACTACATGTGCCCGCCACAACTCCCAGCTATTTTTTTAGAGACGGGGTCCAGCTCTTGGGTCAGGCTGGTCTTAAACTCCTGAGCTCAGGCAGTCTAGCCACCTCAGCCTCCCAGAGTGCTGGGATTGCAGGTGTGAGCCACTGTGCCCAGCACGCTCCTAAATTTAAACACTTCTCTTTCCTTGTATTCCCTCTTCTAAGCTTTTATTTATACTCTTAGGAATGTAAGAAATACCTCATCCTCTTTACCAATCTATATTCTTCTGTTTCTATCGAATAGTAGCAGTATTCCAACTCAGTATTCATGTCTTCCAGAAAGACATGAGTAATTTTCATCCATGTTTTAGATTTTTGGTTTACTTTAGGAACTTGTTCTCTTCTTGATGTACTTTTGTACTTATTTGTATGTATTTTTTATTGTTATCTGCTGGTCTTATGTGTAAGCTTGATTGTCAACTCCTTAAGTTACTGACTTTGTCTAATTTGAAATGTACTTCAGCTTCCTAGTGTAGTACTATTGACATTCAATAAATATTCAGATTCTATTTCTTAATGTACATACAAAGATGATGTTACCATCAACTAAACATCTACCGGGACATGGACTTCTGTTTTTTATAAGTGACAGTGATTTACACTGATTTTTTTCCCACACATAATTCCCCAGTCTCCTTTGAGACTGATGCATTTTTGAGATTGTTGAAAAGATGGGGGTATTCTTTCAAAATCCTCCTGGGACCTTGGCCTTTTCAAAAGTGTTCTGGAACCATTTAAGCTAATCAAAAATGATGCTGTTTTTTTCCTCTTCTTTAAAAATTGTTATTTATAGTCTTCACTTACAAGTGAGAAATGTTTAATCCTGCATATGTCTGATAATTGTGCCGTTAGGTTTTACACAGAATTGGAGAACTTTGTGAATTGGAGATTGGCATGTAGATGTATACGGGCATGCAGAGATGCAATTTTACATCTTCCAGTGATTTATTAAAATAGGATGGAATTTGACGCTTTCTGTTAATTTCCTTTGTAAGATTGCAATAAAATGCCTGAAAACTTGTTTCTCCTAGCACGCTTTCAGCCCTGGCACTGTGTTACCATGTTACAGCCAGTCCTTAGGCTGCCAGTTTTGACCAAATTACTTTCATTGCCTGACTTCATTTGCCTTCAGAAAAACCATTGATCATAAAAAAAAAAAAAAGAAAAACTATTGATTGCCAGAAAAGTTATTTTTAATTGCTCAATGAACAAAATGTTCTAATAATAGATCAGAGAGGATACAAGGAATATTTTGGGTGGAAATTCCGAAATGTTCTTATTTTCAAAGACTTATCAGTGGGAATAGAGAAGAATGACATAGCAGTACTTTAACTCAAGAAGATACTAATAGGATTTTATTAAAATATTGGCTTTATTTCTGTTTGTTTGTTTTTTTTAATTTTCTTTCTTCTGTATTTTTTCTTTTATCCAGGAGCATGGCCTGTTCTTATTGATGACTTTGTGGAATTTGCACGCCCTCAAATTGCTGGGACAAAAAGTACAACAGTGTAGCACTAAAGGAACCTTCTAGAATGTACATAGTCTGTACAATAAATACAACGGAAAATTGCACAGTCAGTTTCTGCTGGCTGGACTGAACTGAAGATCAATCCTCACAATTCAGACTGAGGGTTGAGACAAAACTTTAAGGATACATCTTGGACCATATCGTATTTCATTCTTCTAATGGTGGTTTGGGCTTGTCTTCTAGTCTGGGCCGCTCTAAACATTTATATTCCAACATTGTGGATTTCATCATATATCTGTGGACCATCCTAGTTTATTCTCCCATAAGTCTTAGAAGCTTTATGGTGATTATTTTGAGGTTTCCATTCTTGCATAAAGCACAATGCTGAGTTCATCAGAAAACTGTTGGCATAAGAATTAAACATATGAACATCCAAACAATTTATAAAAACTTCTTAAATACATGCTTTGGGCTAGTTGCAAAGACTATGCTAATAGCACTTCCAATGAGAGTGATATATTTAAGTGTACTGGATCTGGAGTGGTGTTTTGGTTTGGGGGGATTTTTTTTTGTCCTGGCAAATCACATGTTGAGTAGAGTATCTTATGAAAAAAATGTCAAAATAACCAATGTGAAAAAATTTTAGGATAACTTGGTGCCTACCTGAAAAATGTGTTGCAGACTCTAAATTTCAAAAAGGTTCCACAGATCTAATCTGCACTTCCCCGTGTTTATATATAGTTGTCCTACAGGGATCTTTTATTTAGAAAATGTCTGCATAATGTTAGATTCCACTCCTGACTACATTATGCTCACTACATAATTGGATTTCATTATGCTTTTTAAATGCTTTTATGCCTGTCGAATAAGTTAAACTATTTAATTTGTTTCAAATGTTTTGATTACTACACAATACAGTATTCTAAATTTAGGCATGAGGGTTTATTTTTTGTTTTGCTTTTACTTTTTTTTTCTTTTTTGGTCATCGCACTATGGAACACAATGAAATTCTCTTAATTTATAAGAAGATAGTAGGAATTAAATTTTGAAAATGGTTGTGATGAGCCATGAAGTTCAATCTTTATAATATAGGTACTGCTCTTTCAGACAAATAGTCCATTTTTGATGACTTCTTGTTTTGTTGAAATTGCTTTAACTGCTAATCACTGTGGTTGCCAAATATTTACTTCAGGAGCAAAGATTGTCGAACAAGTATACACTTGATGTTAAATACTAATCTGGCTTCTATTTTTGTAAATTATTTAGTTTCTTTACTGTTTTTGTTTTATTCAAATTAGCTCCGTTTTCTCATCAAAGCAGAATGCAATCTTGTATGTATTTTTTTTTTTCATTACAAGACCCATGAACTGCTTTCATGCTGAAAAAGCTCATTTCACTGCTCACTTACTGACATGTGAAGAAGGGTTTATTGCTTTCTTAAACATTTCCGTAAAGCAGGTCAAAAATGTAATATACTTCCTGTGTTGGATGACTGTGGACTTTAATAGGAATATATGTGGCTGGTATA